CAGGTTTTCAAAGGCTTAATATGGTATTTTTTCATACTCCATAAATGTATGGTTTATATAAAAATAGTTATTAAATATATAACATTCATAAAAATATAGTAAAGTTTATTATTATAATAAATAATTGTTTAAAAATTAATTTTTTGAGTTCTCCACAAAATTTTAACTCAATCTATCAAGTCTTTTGTGAAAATACATGCGGGGAATATTTTCATGTGAAATCACAACAATCACATGAGCTTAATGAATTTTGATGAATTTTATGATATAATTTTTTTCCAGGAGTTTTACACTTTTTCCATGACTTTTCCCTGACTTTTCCATCCAAAATAAAATTCGCAGCCATTTCCAGGTTTCTAGAAAACGTAGCAACCCTGTCATTTAAATTTTTCGACATTTTTGGATCAACTTCAACAACTGGTAGTTCTATGGAAAAGATTACCAGAATATTTTGAAATGTTCTAAAATTACCTTTAAAATAAGCCTATAAACATTAAAAATATTTATTATATCAGGAATAACACTGGGTTACAAAAAAATGGTTAAGTCGTGTTTATTTAAAATTTTCTGTGTTTATTGAAAGTTTAGGTGTCACTGAACAAGAATATACACCAAAAAAAATTTTTCATTCTGTCAGTTCCGTAAAAAACGAGATTAAAGTGTCAAGAAATCGCTTTTTTAGCACTTTTTGAAGCGTTGTAAAACGAAAACGCAACAAGATAAAAACCTTCACGAGGGCTTGAATGAAAGCTTAATCCTTCAACTTTGAGTCCCAAAACTGAAAAGTGAATGATAATTGCGCAGAAAATTTATTTAACATGAAATAACTATCTCAAATAGTCAAAATAGTTGGGATAGAGAGCACTTGTTAAAAATCGATTTTCATTACCGAATTTATTTATTTATTTAATGGAGCAATTCTGAGCTCAGATTCGATTTTAGCGAGCCAAAATACTATAGGAAATATATGTCTAGTTCAAGAAACAGACAACTTTTTTTTGTGTGCCTCTGTAATTTATCATAAAACATTCAAATTTCTTTATTAGTTCGAAAATTGTCAATAGGCAGAATAACAAGTGCCAAAAGAGTACTTTTAAACAAAACTGTTATTTGTCACTCTCTAAATCTGAATTAGTAGTTTTCTACTATTGAAAGAGTGCGGATTCGTTTACCAATTGAATGAGTAACAGTTTTGACTAATTTTTAGTAAAAAACTACTAATTGCTAGTAGAAAACTAATAATTCGCAGAATTAATCGGCTTACTAATTTGAAATAGTAAAAAATACGACTTACTAATGAATTAGTAGTTTTCTACTAGCAATTAGTAGTTTTTTACTAAAAATTAGTCAAAACTGTTACTAATTCAATTGGTAAACGAATCCTCACTCTTTCATTAGTAAAAAACTACTAATTCGGATTTACAGAGCACATATTTTGTTCAATGAAATCTTTTTAAAATAATTAAGAACGTTGAATATTTTGTGATATTTTATGGGTTTCGTAAATCTTATAATACTGTTTACAGATTTTAGAAGGTCTACTGTAATTGGATATGACAAAATTGATATAAAAAAAATTTTTGACCATAAATAAAATTTTTTAAATTTCATTTTCTAATTCATATTTATTTTTATAATCAAATACAATTTTTTTTTATCAAATAGTTTAGATTAATTTTTAATATATTTATGAGTTCATATTAAAACTATTTTAACTTTAAAAATAACTTTTTCACATTCTACAACGAGTTAATACAAAGTTTATTTGTTTTTTCTTTCTGGTTTAAGAAACAGTTTTCATAAATAACCCGGAAAAATTACATTATTTCATTTCACCTAGAAAACCTTGAAAAGTCACGTAATTTTAAAACAGCCAGAAGGATGGGAACCCTGTACATTTCTTAAAAATAATAATATTTCTATAAATCATTCTTCATGAATGAATCATTCTTCATTACAAATGATTCATTTTTTGCTTGCACCCTTATATGATAGAGTAGGACATAAAAAAATTTAATTTCGAATAATTTTTGAAATTATTTATGAGTTTTGTGATTGTTGAACTTATAATTCTTGTCAATTTAAATCTTGAGAAATTGTCTAACTTAAAATTTTTTTAAATTATTTGACTTTGCAATTTATGAAAAATTGATTTTGGATATATTTTTAAGTGAAAAGTTTTGAAAGTTTTAAACAATTTCAACTCAAAAATTTGTTTGGGTGTCTGCATTAGAAAAATTTCTATAAATCATATTTCAAACATTTTTAAGAAAAAGGTATGCAAATTTTCAATTTATAATGTCTTTACTCAAGTGCCAGAGTTCTTCCAATCTTGGATAATACTTCCAGGGGTTACTCTGAGAAAACTGGTTATTAACCGTTAATATCTACATATTAAGCGTTAATATCTATATATTAAGCGTTAATATCTTTCTTTTAAATATCCAGTTTTCTCAATGCATATGGGTCTGGGAAAACAAAAAATCATATACTTTTTTAAAATTGTTTTCTTCATGTAATAAATAAATTATTTTATTCGAATGTTCAAACATCTTAAGGTACTGTCGTGCTTGCATACGAGTGCGACACATTCGTCCGATGAGGGCATCGCTGAGCACGAGTGTACACCATGACAAGAACACTTTATGACATTTTTGTTAAGAAATATTAAAAATTGAGCCAATGGAAACTTGTTGTTTGAGACCTCTTCCAAAAAAGTGCTTTTGTGGTGGACATGATTTCTCAAAAAGTAATGAACAGTTCTTTCTGAAATTTGGTACACTTTTTCAATACTATCTAGAAGAAGTGTGCCAAATTTCAGAAAAATCCGTCAACTATAGTTTTTGAAAAATCGTGTCCACGGCTTTTTTGGAAGAGGTTCCAAACAACCATAGATCATGGGTTCAATTTTTAATATTTATTAACAAAAATTTTGTAAATTATTTTTTTGATAGTGTACTTTAAGATAATACTCTATTTATTACATAAAAAAAATATTATAAAAAAGTATACGATTTTTGTCCTTTCAGACTCATTTAACATTCATATGTTACAAAAAGTTGTTGCTTTCTAATAAACATGTACAATTACATTTAAATCTTGTGTAATAAAAAAAATGTTGCCTTAAAAATGCAGCTCGTGATGAAGACTTTACAGCGCTGGCTATGGCAGCTGGTATTGAGGTGTTTTTCGATTATGAAGAAGAGAACGAGAATGAGGACGGGATCGACGTTTTTACTTTATATTTGGCTGCTACAAACTGGAGAGAAGAGCATCCGAAAAATGTTAACTTTTTCGAAGAAACGGTCCCAAGATATTCATTGTCAGGTACAAATAAGTGATAATATAATATTAATATATCAACAGGGATCACAGGTTGTCATTTTTAGGGTTTCATGGCCCAGAGCCTAAAGCCTTATAGTTTCCCTTTGGCGTTCGTCCGTTCGACCGTTGTACTACGCATTTGAGAAACTCATAGAAAACTACTGCGCAGAATGTTAAAAAAGTAAATAAATTTATTGAGGAAACCATGCGAGATCCTTTATGGGTTCCTTGCAGGATCCTTTACAGACAAGCACCCACAACTTGAAAAAGTGCAAGTGTTCCTGTATAGTAACCCTTACATAAAAAAACATTGGTAGCTAATGTTCCTGAACAGAAACATGTTTGGGATCCTTGTCCCAATATCCTGCATGGGATACTGGCCGGATCCGACGCAGAAATAGTGAAGGATCCCTGAAGGAACCTTAAAGACTCCCTTCAGCATTCTGTGGGGGAATTTTTAGCTGGGAACATTAATGCTGAAATCTTCTTTTGCACAATAAGGTTCATTAGTTCGATACTTTATTAATTTCAATAGTTCAAATTCCTAGTGGATCGAGTCTTATAATTTAACGAACTTTGATTTATTTATATATTTTATTTATTTTATCGATTTCCTAATTTTCATGATATTTTTTGCATGTTTTTAGGGTTCCGGTAGGGTCAAGGTTAGGGTCACGGTAGGAACCCTATTAATTTCGGTAGGGCAGCATAACCTTTACTCCCCCCCACTGGCGCTCACAGTTTTCAACCTTTTGAGCTAAAAATTTGCATGCATATGTGTTTTCGCGCGTAGATTTCAGGAAAAATATAGCGAACGTTATTGGAGTTGATCTATATAGTGTTTTTTGCGAAAAACTCAAAATTTAAGATCATTTTCCCGAAAAATTCTTGTAACCCCTCCCCGGGCGCCCACAGTTTTCAATCTTTTAAGCTAAAATTTTACATATATATGTATTTTCATGCGTAGATTTAAGGAAAAATAGAGCGAACGTGATTGGAGTTCATCTATATAGTGTTCTTCACGAAAAACTCGAATTTTTTGGCAATTTTGACAAAAACGCATGTACCCCCCCCCCTGGCGCTCACAGTTTTTGATCTAGAAAGCTGAAAATTTACATACTTATGTATTTTTGCGAATATATTAATGGAAAAATATAGCGAAAGAGATTGGAGTTGATCTTCATATAGATTTTTGCGAAGAAAATATAAATTTTTTGTCAATTCTTGAAAATACATATACCCTTCCCAGCGGTTACAAATTTTGATGCAGAGGACTACAATTTTGCATTCTTTTGTATTTTTACATATAGATCACGATAAATTCAAAAGACATGATTGAAATTGATTTTAATACCGATTTTTGCGAAAAACTCCTAATTTTGGACAATTTATACAATTTTGACGAAAGCATGTGTAGCATGTTACATCCTTATGTATTTTTACGTACAGATTACAGGAAAAATATAGCGAAAGAGATCCGAGTTGATCTTCATATTAATGTTTGCGAAAATTTGTAAATGTTTAAAATCTTTTGAAAATACATGCTCCCTGTATAGGGGAGAGAACGTGTAAGAAACCATCGGTTTTATGCGAGAGTATCTCGCACTTGTCCGATTTTTTTTATATTTAGTTTCAATGGCTAGAGAATAATCCATTTTTTGTTTTTATATTAACAGATTTTCAATCGCATTTCCGCATGACGAGAACAACATTCGAGCAATTAAGTCTCATTTTAGCTCCGGATTTGGATACACCAAATTCGATTATGCCTGTCACAAAGAAATTGGCAATTGCCATTTGGTATTATGCCAACCAGGAAGTTCATCGGTAAGTATCAACTTATATAAATATTTGCATTATTTGACTAGTCGTTTACGGGGAAATCATTAATAATTACAAAAAATTAGTGTGAATTTTCAATGTTCATAAATACTTAAAACTTGAATCCTTTTCTGCAAAGTCCGACCAGTTAGTACCCCCAATGTCGAAAATCGAAAAATCAACAATGCTATAATTTAGTGCTAATTCTTTGTGTAACATTACATGTCTTCTTAAACAATAATTTGGGGCGCATAAGATTCTAGTCTGCCATGAGTGGCAGTATATGTTTTGTTAAACATTCATTTGGATAGGACAAAATTTGAAACTTCTTTGAGTGATAGTATATGTCTTGATAAACAATAATTCGGGGAGCACAAAATTCTAGTCTGCCTTGAGTGTCAGTATGTGTTTTGTTCAACAATAATTTGGGTAGCATATAATTTTAAATTTCTTTCAGTGAAAGTATATGTCTTTTTAAACAATAATTCTTGGAGCACAAAATTCTAGTCTGCCTTGAGTGTCAGTATGTGTTTTGTTCAACAATAATTTGGGTAGCATATAATTTTAAATTTCTTTCAGTGAAAGTATATGTCTTTTTAAACAATAATTCTTGGAGCACAAAATTCTAGTCTGCCTTGAATGTCAGTATGTGTTTTGTTCAACAATAATTTGGGTAGCACATAATTTTAAATTTCTTTCAGTGAAAGTATATGTCTTTTTAAACAATAATTTTTGGAGCACAAAATTCTAGTCCGCCTTTAGTGGCAGTATATGTTTTGTTAAACAATAATTCGGGGAGCACAAAATTCTAGTCTGCCCTGAGTGGTAGTATATGTTTTGTTAAACATTAATTTGGGTAGGACAAAATTTTAAACGTCTTTGAGTGACAGTACATGTCTTGTTAAACAATAGTTCGGGGAGCACATAATTTTAAATTTTTATGAGTGATAGTATATGTCTTGTTAAACAATAATTCGGGGAGCTCAAAAATCTAAACTTCTTAGAGTGACAGTACATGTCTTGTTAAACAATAATTCGGTGAGCACAAATTTCTAAATTTTTTTGATTGACAGTATATGTCTTGTTAAACATTAATTTGGGTAGGACAAAATTTTAAACGTCTTTGAGTGACAGTACATGTCTTGTTAAACAATAGTTCGGGGAGCACATAATTTTAAATTTTTATGAGTGATAGTATATGTCTTGTTAAACAATAATTCGGGGAGCTCAAAAATCTAAACTTCTTAGAGTGACAGTACATGTCTTGTTAAACAATAATTCGGTGAGCACAAATTTCTAAATTTTTTTGATTGACAGTATATGTCTTTCTAAACAATAAATCGGGGAGGTAAAAATTCTATACTTCTTTGAGTGTCAGTATTTGTCTTGATAAACAATAATTCGGGGAGCACAAAATTCTAAATTTTTTTTGAGTGACAGTATATATCTTGGTAATCAATAATTCGGAGAGGAGAAAATTTTAAACGTCTTTGAGTGACATTGCATGTCTTGTTAAACAATAATTCTGGGGCACAAAATTTTAAACTTCTTTGAGTTACAGTACATGTCTTGTAAAACAATAAGTCGGGGAGCACAAAATTCCAAACTTTTTTGAGTGACATTACGTGTCTTGTTAAACAATAATTCTGGGGCACAAAATTTTAAACTTCTTTGAGTGACAGTACATGTCTTGTTAAACAATAATTTGGGGAGCACAAAATTCTAAATTCTTTTGAGTGACAGTACATGTCTTGTTAAACAGTAATTTGGGGAGCACAATATTCTAAACTTCATTGAGTGATAGTATATGTCTTGTTAAATATAATTCGGGGAGCACAAAATTCTAAATTTTTTTTGATGGACAGTATATGTCTTGTTAAACAATAATCAGGGGAGCACAAATTTCTAAATTTTTTTGATTGACAGTATATGTCTTGTTAAACAATAATTTGGGTGCACTAAATTCGAAACTGCTTTGAGTAATAATTGTTTAAGGGGCACTAAATTTGAAACTTCTTCAAGTAACAGTGTATGTCTTGTTAAAGAGTAATTCGGGGAACACTAAATGCTAAACTTCTTTAAGTGAGAGAATATGTCTTTTTAAACAATAATTCGAGGAGCACAAAATTCCAAAATTCTTTGAGTGATATTGGGGGTGCTAACTGGACGGATTTTTTTCTGCATGCTTCTGTTCTACACTGAGAAAAAAACGATGCCAAAATAGCGCCATCCACTCATGTGGGTTCAGCTTTGCTTAAGAACGCTGAAACGACTGTGGGGAACACTGCAGTTTTTGCATGAGTTTTCTGCTATAACTACCGTGTCACATGTCCCGTTCGTTGTGTTTCTCTCAGACGCGCATTTGCATATATTTATTCATTGTGTCGTTTTTTTCATTATTTTAATGTTTATTGTGAATAATATATAGTGGAAAATGGATGAATTTGTTAAAAATATTTTATATAATTGGAAACTGGACCAATTCATTGACAGATTTGAAAGTAAGTATGCCGAATGGACAATCCTAACCTATAATTTTTTGTAAAATGTCTTTGCAATTGATTATTAGATCATTTTTTTTACGAAAACTACGTGCGTATATTAATTTTTTTTGATATTATGGTAGTGTTTTCACTGTTTTTTTAAAAATAACATTGACAATGAAGAGACAATTGTTTGTAATGATCATAGTGTTACGTGTGATAGTTAAGTTACTTTTGAATTTCAGAAGCTGGAATTGATGAAGAAATATTTAAACAAATTGACAATGAAATGTTAGACAAAATATTTAATGATTCGGAATGCGGGTTCAAAAAAAAATTTTTAAATAGGTTAGAGATGTGGAGTTATAATTGTATCGAAGACCGTGAACAGAAAACGGCCGAGAAATGTTCGCTTAGTTTTTCGTCAGAGACCGTGCAAGTTAATAGCACCGTTGATTTAGTAAACTGTACTTCCGCAGATATCAATAATTTGACAATTAATAAAACTACAAATTCAATGGATGAAAGTTCAGTAGGCGTTATCAGTATATGTATGTTTTTATTGATTTTCGATCGTTATTATTTTTTCTCTTACAATTCTATTTTATTTTTCTGTACTTTATGATTTATTTATTCACCTGATTTTTCCTCTTACAATTCTACTTTATTTTTCTGTACTTTATGATTTATTTATTCACCTGATTAGCGATATTCAAAAAAACGGTCCGTGAACTTTTGAAAACGACTAGAGGTAAAATAGTAGAACAGGGATTCAAACTGAATTTGACAATTGATACTCGTCTTTTGAGTGATTTAGTAATAGAAAATGAATTTGAAAGTACAAATTCTTACAGGTATATTTTTAAGTTAATGTTTTGATTTTAGTTACAATTTATTTTATTAATAAAGTAATTAAAAGTTTAACCGCTATTGAAATTAAAATTTTTTTTACAGAATAAGTTCAAATAGGTTTGGTGAACTTGCCCAAGAATTAGGCGTAATCTTTAAATTACCAAATAAAACAATTGACGAATCTGCGAAATTGTTTTACTATCCTTTTAAAAAGGCTACAAAATCTTCTAAAGCAGTCAACGCGGGCGGAGTTTTATACGAAAAATATTTAAGATATCGGCAAAGATTAATCAGTCTTCAGATTATTTCGAAGGAAGAAACTCAAGAAGAAGGTATAAAAATTAATATTCTTATTGGTTATGATTATTAGATCTTAATATCTGTATAGTTCATTTTTTCAAAGCGACCAAGTATAGTAATGAATCTCGTACAAACTTATAACTTTTATTAATAAAAAGTATATAAAAGTAAAATTTTTAAAAAAATTTAATAAATATCATATATAATTTTTTATTACTTAGTCAACCTTTTATCAACGAGTGAAGAGTGTATCAAATGGCTAAAAGAAAATGATGAGCCCCAAGAAGAAGTGATACAGAAGTGGAAGGAAACATTTGCGCAAAGACGTTTGTGTGACAACGTTAATTATTACTTTTCTCAGTATAAATGTTTGCGATCGCCGATTGGACATATTTTGGTTATTTTTTATAATATCTTTTATTGTGGAAATTTAAAAAATTTTAAATTATTATTAATAAAATTATTATTTACAGATTTCTCAAGATTTTGATGCTGTGTATCCAGATTCAGTTAAAATCTTTACCGATTCTTGGGATGATGTTTCGAAATTAATAGTGTCGTATGCAACATCAAAAAAGAAATTGTTCTTGTCTGAGGAAGTATTTGTTACATCAGGTAAAGTATGAAATATTTAGCTTTATAGAAATTAAATAATACCAAAAATTGTGTTTCATTTATGAAATTATTTTTCTAGAGAAATACTCTATATTAGGATTGCTTTGCTTGCCTCGCCTTTTAGGAGTGCTATTGAAAAAAAGAAAAGGATTCGAACCATTCGGGTGTTGTTCCGAGGATGTGAAAAACTCTTTCATCGTTAACGTGCAGGTACAGAATTATTTATATCATTTTTCTAAAAAGTCGAGGCCTTATATCATTTTAATTTCAAATAACTACAGTTATTACAAAGTTTAATTCTATAATTTTTTTCCTTTTGGTGAGAAAATATAATTTTAAGTTTTTTGAAACGACTATTATAAATAAAGTACAGAAACTACTTTCTATTATGAAAAGTTAATAACCTAGATTTTTTATTAGACGCAAGAAGATTTAAACAAGTTTAAGGAACAAAGAACTGCAAATGCAAATGTACACGGCAAACCAGTTGGTCCATACGTTGCAGTTGTTGGAAATTTGGAAGAAGACGGAAACCCAGAAATAAGCGTTTATGTAGTTATTGATAACTACATCTTCAAAGTTGTAACAAACAAAGTAGCAGACGCAGTCGATTATTGCTTTAAATCATTTTTTGCCTTGAATATCGACTTCACCCCCGAGTGCAAACACTTATGGACTTTTTTACAAAGACATATTTATAAAGTTAAACTAAAATCTGCTCACCAATATACAACCGTAACAAAATTCATGGATGAATTGAATAAGTTAAAATAACTTTTGATCAGTTAATGATTGGGCGCAACTGTGATTTTAGAGATAAAATTTGTTTAAATTTAAATTATTTAATTATTTGAATAAATTTTTTTTTATAAGTTTAATAATCGTTTAAGACATCATGGCTGTTCCAAAAATGGATTTGGAAATGGAAATGTTAAAATTAACATTGGGGTTATATAATAATCTTTCTATACCGCGGAATGTTATTCAAATTTTTGTTGATTCGATTACAAATTTTGTAAATGTTACGTATCAAAATTATATACTAGAAAAACTTACTGTAGAATTTAAAGAGCATCACAATATACTTCTTGATAAAGTCAAAGAAGCCTGTGATTCATCAAAAACAATTTTTGATAAGTTTCAAACTGAATATAAGAGATTTGCTTTATATGAAGAAAAAGGGTTACTGTTTATGCCTAAAGAGCGTAAAATTGGTCACAAATACGTAGAAGAAGTTAATGATAAAAAATTAATTACAAAACAATTTGATCTGTTTGGGCAATACATGCCGTTAAAATGGAGTTTAAAATTACTCCTCGAAATTCCCGGTACGTTTCAGTTATTAAAAAATTATATGGACGAATTGGAAAATGAAAAAAATATATATAGCAATTTTATCCAGGGAGAACTTTGGAAGCAAAAATATAAGTCCAAAAACAACGAACTTGTCGTTCCATTATTTGTTTTTCAAGATGATTGTGAATTAGGTAACGCGCTCGGTCCTCACGCAGGTAAAAATAAAGTAGGCGCCATGTATACTTCAATACCCTGTTTTCCTTCGCAATTTGTAACGCAATTAGACAATATTTTGTTAACTGGTTTAACTTACGCTAATGATAGGAAATTATGTAAAAATGAAGACTTTTATAAAGAATTAATATCAGAATTAAATGAATTACGACAGAAAGGTTTAGACATACTAGTTGGAAACAAGGTATATAAGATTTTTTTCCAATTATGTTTGATTTTGGGCGACAATCTCGGACTGAATGAAATATTAGGCTTCGTAGAAAGTTTCAATTCGGGGAAACCATGCAGAATCTGTAAGGCCTCTATTGATGAGATAAAAAATTTAATTAACGAAAAAGATGATCTTTTAAGAACAAAAGAATCCTACCAACAGGATTGCGACGAAAATAATCCATCTGAAACAGGTATTAATGAAGAATGCATTTTTCATAAAGTTTTTGGTTTTCACGTTTGCGATAACATTATTTTGGATTTAATGCACGACATATTTGAGGGAACGGCCAGTTTCACATTGCTTAAAATCGTGAACTATTTTATTTTCGAAAAAAAATTGTTTTCCCTTGAATTTTTGAATCAGAGGATTCAAAAATTTAATAACGAGCAAATAGAAGTTTCAAACAAAATACCATTATTAAAAAGTGGACACATTACATCGAAAGAAAAGTTAAAAATGACTGCCGCGGAAACGATGTCCTTTGTATGATATTTCGGTTTGCTTATTGGAGACAAAATCCAAGATGAAGAAGATGAAACTTGGGCTTTATACATTTTGCTTAGAAAAATCGTGAATTTTTTAACTTCGCCAAGGTTAGTGGAAGGTCATATTATGCAACTTGATGAACTCATTCCAAAATTTTTAAGTTCGTATAAACAGCTTTTCAGACATCTCAAGTACAAATTTCATAATATGACTCATATTACACGAGTATGAAAAAAAAATGGTCCTCTTGTACACTTTTGGTCGATGCGATACGAGTCAAAACATCGACATTTAAAAGTAGCATCTGGAACTACTTGCAATACAATGAATCTTTTAAAATCTTTGGCTCTGCGAAACCAACTCCGATTAGCATATTTAAAACTGATTGGAAATTTGTCTTATGATAACTTAATTTTTGATCATTTCAAGGAAATCGACGAGTTTTCCAGAAGAAAGTACTTTCCAAGAAGTTGTATTACAGATGAAATTTTTTCAACTGACTGTGTTGAATCAAACGGAATTGAGTATAAAGAAAAAATGGTTTTTGTAGTTGAAATGGGACCGAATGACTTACTTGTTTTCGGAAAAGTTATCGAAATATTGATTAAAGAAAAGCAAGTATTTTTAGTAATGCAACCTTTGGTAAGTATTTTCTTCGATGAAAAATTCTTTGCTTACAATGTAGTAGCACGTGAAACATACATTTTAAAAAATTGTCTTGAATTGCCGAACATTCATCCATGTCTATTAGTAGAAAAAGGAGAAAATTGTTTCGTTGCTTGCAAATATGTATTATAATTTTTGTTTCTCCTAATTTTGTAAACTTATATATGTTAATAAAATTCTTTCCTGTAAAAGACTTTTTCTTTATATTTCTAATTTTTACTTTCTTAACTTTAACCTCTTTTGTATTTTAAAAATTTACTTGATAAAACTTGACTAAATTACAAAAAATTATTCTTATAACTTAAATTACGATTAAATTTATCTACTTTCTTTTATTTATTCATTATTTTATTATTATTATTATTTTTTATTTATTTTATTATTTAAATTAATTTCTATATTTGTCATTTGACTTAATTTTTTGGTGCATAGGGTAAGGGATACAGTGACCGACACCCTGGGCATACTTTCAACTTTAAATGACATTTTATCGTAATTTATTAAAGATTTAGTTATAAAATAAATTTTAAATAAAAGATTTGGGTTAAAATTTATAGTACACAAGTTTAAAATTAAAAAACACCTTGATAAGAGTTTATTATATTAATTTAAAAATGTATGGTATATGAAAACAGTGAACGACACCCTTTAATAAAATAACAAATATTTAAACTTCTATTTAAGTAACATGATATTTATTAGTATTATCATACATTTTATTATTCAGATTTAATGTACAAAAAAAGTTGCTTTTAAAATATAATTATTTAACAATATTTTCATATTTATAAAATTTGTAATCAATAAAGCAAATTTTTTGAGGTTAGTTTTCTAGAAAGTATTAAATATTGAGGAAAATATAAACATATAAAATTTTGTATAAACTGTATAAGTTTTTAAATATTGTATATTAATTAATTTACTAGTGATATTTAATTCAATATTATTATTTTTATAGTTATTATCGTTTTTAATAGCAGGTGTCGTTCACTGTCTGGGTGTCGGTCACTGTACATTTTACCCTAAATATATATTAATAAGTTATATTATTATGAAATAAATTATAATTATTATAAAAACATTTGTTATTACTATATAGTAATTAACTATAAGATGTTTAAGAAATGTATTTTAAAAGAATTAAAAATTAATTTTTAAGTTTGTACAGCACTGCCAAAAACTGCTGTGTATTCCAATGCAGAAACTGCAGTGTTCCAATGTCAAAACAGCCGTTTTCTGTTTGCAGTGTCACTAATGCAGAAACTGCATGACTTTACCGCTGAAACGGCGTGCTTTTTTCTCAGTGTAAGTAAGTCTAACAGAACTGGTTGATAAAAATGTTACTGTTTTATAGATCTATTGCTGACCGATTTGGGGTGTCTAAATCTACATCATGGTTGTGTGTGGTAGATGTGGCAACTGCCCTCTGTAATCGTGTAGGAGAATTTATTAAATGGCCAACTGAGGAAGCTCTTATGACAACCATGCGTGAATTTCAAGAAATACCTGGATTTCCAGGCGTTGTTGGAGTTGTGGATGGGTGCCACATTTCAATAAGCGCACTACACGAAAACCCTGCAAGTTACTACAATAGAAAGGGTTATTATTCTATTAACATGCAGGGGATTTCTGTTGCTACGATGAAATTCACTCATGTGTATGCGGGTTGCTGTGGCAGTATGAATGATGCGAGAGTGTGGCAGTTAAGTGACATTCATCAGGAGAGTGAGCGAAATTATGATGCATATTTTTCAGCCCAAACACACATTTTGGGGGATAAGATATACCCGAGACAGTTTAATTTGCTGCCGCCTTACAAGGATTATGGGAACTTATTAAGAGTGCAAAGGTACTACAATTTAATCCATGCCAGAACACGGCAAATAATTGAGAGGACCTTTGCGCTGCTTTTGGGTCGTTTTCGGAGACTAAAACATCTATACCTCCAAAATGTTGAGTACGCATCTCTCTTCATTCTTGCGTGTTGCTGTCTGCACAACATTTGCTTGTCATTAAATGACGACCTTGATGGAATCGCAAATGTTGATATTGACGATCTTGATGGACACTTGGAAGATGCCATTGATGCACTTTTACCAGAAGTGCCAGCAGACAATCCGCGTTTTAATCCGGACATTAAGCGCAATGTGATTGCGAACGCGTTGTACATGAATCGCGAGTAGTAGTGTGTTAAGACGTGTGTATCCGTATGGCATTCTGGCCAGAAGTGCAACCAAAGAATCCGCGTTTCAATCTGGAGAATAACAATGGTGTGTTTTGTTATGATATAGTACAATTAAGTATGAAACTGAATGTAAATAATGATGTATTTTAGTATAGATAAGTGTTTGATTATTTTACACATAGTATGATTGCTGTTCCTTTGTTTGATTTATTATTATTATAAAGTTTGAAAGTTAATGTATATACTGTAGTTTTTTTGTACAATTAAGAATGAGAGTATTGTACAAACTGGTGTGTCTTAGTATAATTAAGTATTATAATTACATTGTATACATATCGAATATAATTTTTTTTTAATATGTACACTGAGAAAACTGTTTGGTATCATGTATCAAAGTTTGGTTGTCCCTACCAAATTTTTTATTTGATATATGTGCAACTAACCCGTTTGGTTGGGAGTACTAAATTTTTTTGTCCAACCGTTAAATTTCGCTCAATTGAATTATTTAGTAGGTGTAACCAAATAATTTAGTCTACGTAATAAATACATTTATTAGAATGAAAAAAAATGTTCTGTTGAGGTAAATAAAATTTAGTTATTTCAAGTTACTATTTTCGTTGATTAAAAAAAATTTTTTTGTAGAAATAACTAAATAATTTATTTTATATAAAATAGTTTATTTGGTCATTTTTACGATTTTGTATAAAAAATAAGGTATTTTAATTCAAGAGAGATGAGATTAATAATATAACTTTATTAAATTCATTATGCTTAGACATTACAAAAATAATTTATCTTCCCGTAAGTACACACTACGCGCGTTTCATGAAATATTTCAAAATGATATCGCATAAAATTGAGGAGCAAGTTTTCAAAAGTTGATACAGAATGCCACGAGGCATTCTAACCCCCATTCTCTTAGCAAACGTTTTGTCACTTCGTCAGCCATTCTTTCGAAATAAAAGAAACACTTTCAGTACACTTTTAAAAAATAAATATTTATAAAACTTTAATTACACTGCTACGATAATAGACCAGCCGAACAATAAAAACACATGACATAAATGATCGGATAAGCATAACGCGGAAGAGGTCCACGACTGACTAGGCCCTACGACCGACGCCACATTTTCGAGAACAGCGCGTGCGCAATTCTGCGTGCCAGCGATTTAGTACGGAGAACCAAACTGTTTAGTTTGTAGACATGAAACCTTCAAAAATATTTTTTGGTAGAGCAAACTAAATTTTTCGATTGATTGCCACTTTCTTTTCTGTTGTGCCAACCATACTTTAGTAAGGCCAACTAAAAATGCTTAACTAAATTATTTTCTTATTATTACGATATTATTTTTCTCAGTGTAATTGTATGCGTGTTTGTGTCTGTCAAGGTATGTAGTATGTATTAAAGTTTAAAACATTGTAGTATAGTGTAATACAGTGTTAATTTTTTGTGGTGATAGACGTTCTCAAGTAATGCGCCTCATAATTTCTAAGAAGTATAAACTGATAATGCATAAGGTGGTTTACTCTTAACGAACAGTAATATGTATACAAATACTGTTCCTTGGGGGGTTCCACTCCGTTTAGTAACGGATATATTGTTTTATTATTTCAATTCCTTAATTTCTTTACTGAAGTGAATAAAATACGGTCCCCAAAAAATGAAATAAGAACAATAACCTTTCCTCGCAGAAAAATATCAAGATTGAAGTCTCGCCACTTTGAATTCATCGATCATTTGAGGATATCCATATTAATACTTTCCTTTTTATCTGTCCCATTGAAGCTGTATTATATTAATATAAATATACAATCGCATAGAATTTTAAAATCACCCAATTTCTCATAACAAGAAACCAATTTTTAATGGTACTTAAAGAAAATAAACTTATATATTTCGAAGGTTGACTACATTCTGAAAAATTGAATCCCAGGAGAAGAATTTTTGTTAATTATTCTGGGAGGTGTTCTTAAAAGTAATATTTTAAATGTTTTTAAAATTTCTAAATTTCTCAGGCATTGCAGAATATTTTTTTAAGTTCTTACAATTAGACATATAATATGTTCCGGTCGAGAAGTATGAAAATGGCACAATTGTCATTGTCCCCAATTCACCCGAAATGTTTTCGACCCTAATTGTCAATGTCCCGAATTGGTTATATCTTAAAATATTGATATCTCGAAATGCCATTGTCCCGAATTGTCAATGTACCGAAGTGTCCTTGTTCTTATTTGTTAATGTCCCGAATTGTCATTGTCCTAAAATGACATTGTCCTCAATTGACAGTGTCCCGAAAATGTTATTGTCCCGAACAATTAATGACCCTCATTTTCAATGTCCCGAACTGTCAATATCCTGAATCGTCCTTGTCCCGAATTGGCAATGTCCGGAAATGTCATTGTCTCAAATTGTCAATGTGATTATTTAATATTAAAAATGATATGTTTTTCATAAACAATATTGTAAAGTCATTACATAGTATTGCGAATAGACAGTATTTCTAGTTTTACATTTATTTATAACTTTGATTTTTTGCAATTTGAAATAAAAAAAACATTGATCCTAAGTGTAATGTAAACGGTGATATTAGTATTTGAAAATTTTTGTTTTCAATTATTTATTTGAGCCTAAAAGACTTAACTTCCACTTGCCTATAGATTTAATCTGTAAGAATAAAATCAGACTTTCATCTGTACACTGTTAAAAATCCAAAAATTAAATTTTTTATTTTCATATCTTTTCGACAACGGATATGAAAAGTTGAATTTAGATTTAGATTGGTATTTAGCCAATTTTATTAAAAATTGAACGTTTAATAAATGAAATGGTTACCATAATGAAGTGAAGTTATATTTTGTTTATTATGTCAACTTTATGCTTTCAAAATTTTTCTGAATATTGTTGTCTGAATTTTTCTTTACATTTTTCATGTTATATATATTTAATTTGTAGCAAATTAGTTGTCAAAATTAAAATGTTACTAAGTATAAAAATTTTTTCATTTTTATTTAATTATGTACATATGTATTATTTTTTTTATAAGTACCAAATTTAAACAATTTTATTGTTAAAATGCAATTTTTTGATTACAAAAACTCAACTATTAAAAGTTTAATAAAAATATTATAAAAAATTACAAATTCGTATTTTTCGACTTTTTCTTAAATTAAAATGAAATTTTTTTCTTTATCAATTTTTTTTATGAATTTAACTTGGGTAAAGATCAAATACTCGGACAAATTTGGCTTCAATTGGTTGAGCCGTTTTTTTCTGGGACATGCATTCAGACATGAAATTTTTTATGTATATTTTTCGAATCCTGGATGTTGAAAATGACAAATTATTTGAGAAATTTTGAATTTGAAGCAATGTATAGCCAAAGGCTGATTTTATTTATATAGATTACAATTATACGAATTATATAAATAAAAATTTGTTAATTAATAATTTTTTTACACACTTAAATACATATGTTATTTTTTAATTTGTAACATTAAAATATAAATAATCTCTCTCAAAAACGTGGCTAAAAAAAGTATTAACAGTTTTCCAAAAATTTCCAAACACAGGTTTACAAATTCGTGTTAACTTTTGGACCCAGACAGACAAGAGCGTTTCTTAGCGTATTTTTTTATGCTGAATTCGAATCCATTATTAAATTTTTCGTATCACGTCAAAATTCAAAATGTCGGAAAAAATGAGAAATCAATTGGATCCGCCATTTTGAATTTTAAAAATCTGACTTCATATTCGTAATCAGCGACCCCAAAAACCCCCAAGTAACGAGTTTCAGATGAATCAAAGCGATTTTAAGAATAGTCGTCTGCTATATTGGATCCGCCATTTTGAATTTTGAAAATCGAATGCTATATTCGTAAACAGCGATCCCAATTACCCCCGAGTAACAAGTTTCAAATGAATTGAAACGATTTTAAGAAAAGTCGTTCGCCATATTGGATCCGTCATTTTGAATTTTAAAAATCTGACTTCAGATTCATAATCAGCGACCCCAAAAACCTTAAACAAAGTTATGATTTTTTTATAAGTAATATAGTTCAATTAACAATAACAAATTTGTAAAAAGCATAAAAAATTTAAAATTGCAACTATCTCAAAAACCTGACGTGTAGTACAAAAACGGACTGTAGATTCGAATTCAGCGTTAAAATTTACGTTAGGAATAGATTTTCGTTGCTCGAGTCCAAAACCGTGTATTCCTGTGTAATGTTTGAAAATAATTAAAATGAACAACTTAACTTGTTATATATTAAGAACAAATACATTTTCTAATTATTATTTTGCATTCAATATTGCACGAATAAACTATCTAAATACTAATTTATCAAAAGCAATAATTTATTTCATCATATTTTATTAATTAAGTGTAATATTTCGCCTCAAATCGAAGTTTACCGAAATTTCACTCCATTCGGTGAAATTTCAGTTAACCTAATCCGCCAGGGTATATAATTTTTCCTTACGTTTGTTATTTTATTTACAGTTGTTTATTTATATTTTTGTGATTATTTAAATATTCAAGTCTGGTGATCAATTACTCTGACAATTACACTTAAATCAAGGAATGAAAAATTCGAACGCATGTGGAATCGTACCCTAGACCCAGGAAAGACAACGAATATGAATTACCACGCAGCCACGATGACTAGATGGTAATTTATTATGATTAATTACTGGTAATTATAACTACCAGTTTAGGGCCGAAGTTCTTATTCCGATTGTGACCAGAATTTCTGTCCAGTAACTTGTCAAAAGTAATGATCAGAAATCATGACTAGAAAAACTGTTCAGACATTTGTCAGTAACTTGACAGCTTATCTTGTCGAGTGAGACTCGCTCTCACTTCTAAAGATACTGCTATATCTTTCGCGAATAATATATAGTCAAAATTGCGAAAAATCGAATCTTTTTTTATCTAAAAGTCTATTTGAAACCATCACAATAATTTTGAAATCACATATAAAAAAAATTTATTTTGAATAGTAGAAAATCATATTTTGGAAAGCATGTTATTTGAACATCATGAATACTTTAAAAAGACTTATTTTAGAAGTCACTGTAAGTGATTGACTTAAAGAGTATTTTTAAGGGACAGTCTGTGTACGCAGACTTTTCTTTTAATTCAGTCAAGATTTTTTGGTCAAATCTTAAAAAAATCTGTAATAATTCTTTTGATAGGATTTGACAAGTTTTTCTGATGAGTGGTGAACCAGTTTTTCTAAGTGGAATCTTGAATAATTTTTAAAATCCTTGACTGGCCAGTATCTGGAAAGAAACTTTTATTACGATTATGATCAGATATTCTGGTTAGTGACTTGACAGAAGTACTAATCAGAAAGGGAGATTCTTTCTGTCCAGTCACTTATTCAGGACTGGTTAGATTATCTTGTCAAAATAAACTTGCTTTCCACTCCACAAATACTGCAAAGAAACAAGTAATACTCGTCAAATTTCAACCTGGGCCCAGGTAGAAACTTCAACTCAGTACTGACCAGTCACTGGAAAGTTTTTCTAGGTACTGTACAGTAACTGGCCAGGATGTCTGACAAGTGGCTGGTTAAAAATGTGACGCGCTCGA